TTATTCTATTCTATTCTATTCTATTCTATTCTATTCTATTCTATTCTATTCTATTCTGTTCTATTCTTTCATATTCTGTTCTGTTCTGTTCTGTTCTATTCTTCTATTCTATTCTATTCTATTCTATTCTATTCTATTCTATTCTATTCTATTCTATTCTATTATTCTATTCTATTCTATTCTATTCTATTCTATTCCTTTCTTATTCTATTCTATTTCCTATTTCTATTCTATTCACGAGATCCCCTTTTGCAACCTTCTGACAAGCAAGTCAATGGGGAGGCCACATTCACGTCACAACTGTATTATTAACAACGATGCTACTGACTTAACAATTGCAGGGATTCACTTAAGAACGGTGGCAAGAAAGATTGTTAAAGGGGCAAAACTCACTTGAGTGGCTCACTTAGCAACAGAAATTGGAGGCTTGAGGTCGTTACATCGAGGACTTACCCGTACACGATATGGGTCTCACAGGCAGTCAGGGAAAAGACTTACAAAGTGAAGACATTTCTATGCTGGGTTAGGACAGTCTGGGTTCATGAATTGAGATGCAGGCTGTCTGTCACAGGTTGGGGATACACTGAAGTTTACAGGTCTTCTGGAAGGTCCCTTTCCTAGAGTCTCACCCAAGCCAGGTGCCACCAAACTATGACGCTTATTATATCAATGCACACCTATTTTGCTGGAGATATATCTGAGTGCAACCGCCACCACTCCAGGATTGCAACCCGCCGGTAGAAACTAGGAGGTTGATGTTGAGATTGGGTGAGCCTCCCTTCCTGCACACACACACACACACACACACACACACACACACACGTGAAACACAACTCACAGTGAGGACAGAGGTCCCTAACCCAGTCCCAATCTTATTACACTATGTGACCTTGTTGCATCACACGCTGGCCCTGTCCGGTCCTAGCTCCTCGGAGTTCTGTTTCCCTACAAGCCTTGCTTGCTTTCTTTTCCATGCCCTCTGGCACGATTCCAAGCTTGGAATTGGCTTCTTTTTTTACACACACACACACACACACACACACACACACACACACACACACCCCTCCCAGCCACAGCAACACACTGTTTAACTACTTCACTTAGCACAACCCTGATTCCCCATTGTAATTCTGATCTCCAGCCAGGGAAGGGGACCCCAACCTCTACCGCGCCCCCTCCCAGGGCAGTCCTCTTTGCCAAGTACCCTTTCCCTCTCAGTACACCTGATCCCCCCCAAAGCCTCCTGTCTGGAAACACCCAGGAGTGGATTAAGCACTCCACTCCTCTGGAGAAAAGCATTGTTTTGAAAGGAGCAAAGAGGAGTCATCGTGGTTCTTTCATGCCCGTCATGAATAGGGTTGGTTGGGCTGTTCCTTGCAAAGTTTCACAGGAGTCTGCCCAGCCTCCCTTTTGAATCCCCCCCCCAAGCCTTTGGAAACAGCCCCCCCACCACCCATCCACCAGCAGAAAGACAGCAAGATCTCAAAAGAAGGTCTCAAAAGAAGATCTCAAAAGAAGAACGGACAGGGCTGTTCTTATCAACCAGGGATGGTCGCAGCCTTTCCAGATCTCAGAGAAGTTGGCCCCCCATCCAGAAGATGAGATTTTCAAACTTCTTCCTTGCGACTGTCTACAGGTAAGTCCTTGACTTTACGCCCACCATTCAACCTCCCAAGTTTCGGTTGCAAAGTGAGACGTTTGTTTAAAGTGAGATTTGCTTCATCTTAACGACCTTTCTTGTCAGAGTTGTGGGGTGAAATCACTGTGGTTGTTAAATGGGGGAAACACAGTTTTTTAAAGTGAATCTGGTTTTCTCACATTGGCTCGGCTTGTCGTAAGATCGCCAAAGGGGATCCCATGCCCGTGGGACCCAAGGACGGTCCCCAAGGCGAGGCGGTCCCCAAGCGCCCAGATTTTTGATCACGCGACCATGCGACAGGCGTAAGTCCGAAAAAAATGGTCACCAGTCCCTTTTTTTTCAGTACCGTTGTAACTCGGAGCATTCGCTATATAAGCTGTGGTTAAGGCGAGGACTACCTGTAATTCCCAGATAGACTCAACTTTGCAGACTATTATTCCCACAACCTCTTTGACCCAGTTGGCTAAGGAGTTTTCTGGGTTAGTAGCAGCCTGAATTGGTCAAGCAAGATGACTTCAACGGATAATTAGAACTGCAGAAAAAACAATTGCTACCAACCTGCCTTCCATGGAGGACCTGTGTAGAGCACGAGACAAAAAGAGGGCTGTGAAAATATCTACAGACCCCTCACATCCTGGCCATAAACTGTTTCAACGCCTACCCTCAAAACGATGTTATATAGAGCACTGCACACCAGAAGAATTAGACACAACGCCATCACTCTGCTAAACAAATAATTCCCTCAACACTGTCCAACTATTTAGTAAGACTGTATTACTATTCTTCTTCTCATCCTTTCTAGTACCTATCTCTTCCCACTTATGACTATAACCATGTTGCTTGTATCTTTACAATTTATATTGTTTTATTTGTTCCCCAGTATGATTTGATTGCTTATTAGTAACCTCTAATTATCACTAAGTGTTGTATCTTATGATTCTTGATGAATGTATTTTATTTTTTATTTTATGTACACTGAGAGCTTATGCACCAAAGACAAATTCCTTGTGTGTCGAATCAAACTTGGCCAATAAAGAATTCTGTTCTGTTCTGTTCTGTTCTGTTCTGTTCTATTCTATTCTATTCTATTCTATTCTATTCTATTCTATTCTATTCTATTCTATTCTATTCTATTCTATTCTATTCTATTCTA